GACAGTAAAATGGTCAACTATAGAGTGTATTTGATACAATGAGAACTTGACTTCAATTATTCAGTGGAATGAATGAGAAATAAGCAGAAGAGTACATTTTTGGTGATAAAAGGCATGAGAGCGATTACAGCAGCAAGGAAAAGAATAAAAACCCTGTTAAAACAATAAACAATGAACCGTGTTAGGCTCGGACGAGTCTATGATACTCATAAAATAGAAGAATTAAGAGTGTTGCCATCAACTAACCGCATTTACATATCCGAATTAAAAAACACCATCACAATTGCGTTCTATCATGAAAAAACAGCTGCACGAAATACTAATTTCCCAACCCCCTCTCTTACTCCTTAACACCTCCAAATTACCCAAGATGGGTAATTTCACCGCCTATGAGAACCACTGTTCTAAGCAGTCAAATCCGTGGGCGAGAAAGGGACCATCTGGAAAGACGAAATGCTGAGATCGGAGCAAACCTTGACTTTGTCCAGGAGCCATGAACATATTATACCCGTTTTTGACGACTCCATTGCCAATCACACGTAATAAACGATCTGCTGATTCAGACCTGAAGTTTTTGCCAGCATTCATAGGATTATGTGATTGTTAGATCATGATTATAACATTCGGATCATTTGAAAATCATTTTTTAGAAACTTCTGCTAAACTGACATTAGAACTTCTATCAACTAATCATGTTTCCGTCATCGAATGAAGTTGTAAGCTATTCGTACGTCTTTTTGCGAATTTAAAAACTTACCCATTCAACACAAAAGATGTGACGATAACTACAGGAAGATATTGCCGTACAATTGAACTTTTACCCGGATCAAAAAAATGGGACATAAGCACAAGTTGCGGCTCATATGGGGGTTGATAATCCAATCAATAAATGAATATAAGTAAGTGGTTCTGTCATGCATACAAATAAGTGATTCCCTGCTATGAGAACTAACGTGAGGCTAAGCGCAAATGTATTGCATTGTGATATATTGCTCACATTTCTATAAACACGATGAAATTAATGATGATATTTTCAAGAAGTGATCGTCTTGTTGTCTCACGTTTGTTTCCATTTTTGCTTCACTACTGAACGTTCTCGTTGACAATTTCGAATTGAACTTTTACTTAAGTCAGATTCAAAAAATGACACCAGTACAAACTCAGTTTATCATGGATATGAATCTAAGCAGTACATCGCATAATAGATAGAGAAGTTTCTAATCGAGTGTCTCATTTCCATCTAAAAATTCCCCAGAGGCGTTG